CAGTTGTGGCTCATCAGGTTCGGAGGCAGATTGGAATCTTCCGCATCTTCCACCAAAGAGTTGGTTATCAGGAGACCGCACTTGGGTCAGAATTTACATCGTTTTCAGACGTCCATTACAGGGAGCATACCATCTGACCGTTTGTGATGCTTGTTCCAAGCGGCCGGAGATCATCGTAATATCACCTTAATCATTACGTCGAACAATTGGTGTTTATACAGATACTTTCTTCCCCTTTAGGTTGCCAGAGACCATTGTTTCCGAAAACGGGCCACAATTCATCTCGCGCGAAGTTTGCCGTGTGAATGCAATGAACCATATACGTACACTACAATATCAACCTCAATTTAATCGCCATGCAAAAGGATTTTTAGATACCCCTAAAAAAGCGAAAAGAGGGAGGGGGATTACGAGTGTTATACAGCAGTTCTTATTCATCTGTCGCTCAACACTCAATGACACCCTATCAGATCATCAATCTCCTGCAGAGATTTCAATAGGAAAAAGCTACGTACTCCACACCGTGCAATGCTATCGTCACATCGTGCACAAATAATACAAATAGCTAGACCACACTTTGACACGAGAGACTACTTCTATGTCCGAAATTACAGACCAGGATATGGTATGTGAACGGGACGTGTTGTTATTGAGAGTGTAATGGAAGACGCACAGTTGGGTCAGGAGAAACGAGCAAGACAAGAACCAGCTGTGTCATAACAAGACCAGCCAGCCAGAGAATCTTACCATAACTCTGGACATTCGACTGGATGATATACTTAAATTACCAACGACGCGAAGAAGGCCAAAAACCGAAATCAACAAGGAGCTTTAACCCATATAAACGGACTGGAGACGGCCTCAAACTGTACATTTTCAAATGGACCCCAAAAGACAACGGTATTAAAATATTTTTTCTTCAAAAAGAGGAGGTACTGAGAAACCCAAGAATCTCATAAAACACTTTATTTATTTGTACATTACCGTTTCCATTCTCATTCCTACCCGATGACCAGTAGTTGATTCTCCCCGCCCTTCTCAAGGTAATTTGCTGACACTTGCCTTTACTAGATCAATGTTTTAAATACTCCACGAGGTCACACTTCATGTAATATACACATATGTTTAGAGTTGTTCCCATTATTTTCGGAGGTAATAAACTCTCCCCTCCCCCCTCCCCCCAAGACCAGTCTTTTTGTTTCTATTCTTGGCTGGCGTTTGAAGTCACTGGTATGTGGTGTAGTAGTTAGCTGTTAGTTAGAAGCGCGCGCAGTACATAACACCCAGAAACGTAGCATGGACCTTACTAATTAAATCTACAAAAGAATTCAGTCATAGGTAAACATTTGATAACATACAACGGCGGGCAAAGGACAGAGTAACGGTCATAAATGTTAGTTAAGTGGAGAGAAGTTGATCATTGAGTCTTCGGTAATGGATCCTATACCCAACACGTGCTATACGAATCATTCAACATGGATTGCAAATATATGGAAAACCCTAACACCAGTCAAATCATAGAATGAAAAGCAGTAGAAGCAGTTTTTTAAAACTGTGACAGGAAGTTAATGTTGTTGCTTGTATTATCCCCTCGTTGATTGGACCGAATTCGAATAATGTTTCAATTATATGTTGATGATAGATAGTGGCTGGCAGTAGAATCCAGGACGCGCGTTTCGTCCTATTTGTGACTCGTCAACTGGATGCACCTGCCTCCCAACATGGAACAATACAAGTAACAACATAAGAACTATACCCGTTGCAGAAGAAGTGAATATCGCTCTGGAGTTTGAAACGACCAGTCCCGAGTCTCAGTGGGAACAACACCGCACACTGGAAGGCAGGTATATCCGGCTGATGAGTCCTGAATAGGACGAAACGCGCATCCTGAACTTCATTTGCTAGCCACTATCCATCATTAACATATGACAGGAAGTTATGTGATTGATGAATATATCAAAGAGACGAATCTTATATGAGGAGTACGCACTACCATGGTGCTCAAATTGTAGACTTACATCAACAAACTACTTATAATTTATAAAAGTGCTTTCTGGATTAGGATATCAAAAATAAAAAGGTTTGATTTTTGTAAGCGCTAAAATTCAAATTTAAAGCTGAATTGTAAAAACTTTGCAAGGTTACAAATAAGTGAAGAAAATGGTGAATGAGACAGATAATGTTGCATATTATCAGCTGAAATCGAATAACCGTCTGCTCGAAAAACCGTTTAAATAGCGTTGAACTTTCTTCATAGCATTACTTATGTAACTTAGACACACATGAATGACTGATTAATCGCTATGTCAATTTTACTGGATGAAAATCGTCCATTTTTAGAGCAATGTTCAGGAAGTAGATGGATTCAATTAGTTTCTGTGGGGAGATTTCATAATAAATGAGATTATTTCCTACATTACAAATTACTCCAATAGAAATCCGACTTTAGCATATTAATTAGACTATATTCAAAGGTCAATGAATAATGGTACATATCAATACTTTTATAGATAATACTATGTATATGGAGCTTATAATAAAATGGAAACCCTGTTGGGTTATGGAAAAATATCATTAAAAGGACGTAACAGCGAAAGAAGTTTTCCTCTGGACAACTTCATTTACGAATGCTGGAAAAGAATAACATGATTACTATGATGCTCAAGAGTAGGATAGAAAGTTTCTAAAAACAGAAAAAAACTACTATCTCACCGAAACACACTCAGCTACGTTGTGCACATCCGTGCAGTAGGCGATGAACCATACTTACTGTGTGAGGGCTAGTGATCCTACCTGACTGCCTAAACCTTAGTAGGTGCAGCGGGGCTCGAACCCACAACCTCACGGTTGGTAGTTAGCTCCCTAAACCACTGAGCAACATCCTCATTGTCCTAGCCATGACAAAGCTGACCAATGCACATGATGTTTTCGAACACAGAGATCAAGTTTCAGTTTACGGATTGTGAATGATTTTGCTATGCATAGATGTCGCAGTTGAAGGCCTTTCGAACAACAGAGAAACACTTTCTTAATTACTTTGAAGGAACTACTATGAGGAGCTACATGTCCAGAAGTGACAAGATGTTCAAAAATAGAACCGTTGATATTTTCTTTCTTTCATTTGGATAGCGAGGCTGAACAATGCTCCAAAATACGTGTACGAACTTAGGACGCTATGTACGGCCAATGTACGTTGATCCACAGGAATAAATAAACTGATAGATGCACACTGAGATTGAGAAAAGTGGTATTCTGTCCTTAACGCACTGATGAATTAATTATCTACTGGAAAATGTGATTTTCAGGCTAGTTGCTGAAATATCTTCCTGAGAGGAATTGAGAAATGATTTTTGAGGATTCTAGCTATAATGTTACCTTTGAATACCGGGCTCATATTAAGAGATTTCTCTGGGACTGTCGGTATCTTTTGTACTTGTGACTTTTCTTTTATGCTAGAGTCCACGAATCAAGGTGGATAACCCCAGAAATCGTCGCTCACTACCATTTAGTGCATTTGCAGAATAGATTTTCTGAACTGTTGGACATAACTAACGTACAAGGTTCTGTCTGCTGACTAGAGTGACAGCTTTGGAAGTTGATAAACTGTCCACTTCACGATGGTTCTCTGTATACTTATATCTGGAGAGAATTATGTGACCTTCTTGTTAGTAGCACATCCAGGAATAGGAACATCGAATTGGTTTTACAATCTATAGTAGATTTTATACATGAATGTGCAGTACTGAAAATGTTGAGGAGGTTGCTTAAATCGCGTATCATGAAAATGTCGTCAATGTACCTTTTTAAAAAGTATAGTTACCTGATTAATGAACTAAAAACACCATTTTTAACAGAGGCCACGATGCAATCAGCAAGGAAAAGACCATTAAACAACTTCAAGTTTGATGTGTCGATCGAAGAAACACGATACGCTACCGATTTGTTAAGTCACATAACTATGAGTGTTCAAGTTTCAGTGTACATACGTGTTAGTACGACGGAATAACTTCAGCAGTTATGACCAAACTTTACTTCACATCCCTATTAAGTTGCCTTTGAACCTACTGATTCCCACTCTCAGGAGTACCAAGGTGTCGTAGACTTGAGGGAGTAGTAGTTAGTTGGTTGGAGGTAATCGATGGGAAGCCCTGATTAGCTTGTTGGCACTTGTCAGTAAGGCGTATCTGGAACCTCAGAGGGACCGACAACCCCTCTGAGATGCGAACTCGCGGCAACCAGTGTTGCAGTAAGCAACGTCGCCACTAAGGCATTCGGGCCGCGACTGACCCCCTGCAGGACTAGATTACACTGCTGGTTGCCTCCAAGTAACTAACATCCATCAAAGTGCACCACGACGGTGAGCTTCCTAGCTAACTCGTGACATTCTAAAACATTCGATGGAGTGCAGTCAGCACTCAGAACTAAACAACATGAAATTGATTACTTTCCAGTAACCAATCAGTGTACAACAGTGATTTGTTTCCATCACTTTGTTTCTCGTATTAAAAGATTTACAACGACGCATATTTGTATTCGAAATATGCTAAGTTATACTCAATTACCTTTTCTATTTACCACGATAAAATGAATTTCAACTTGAAATCAACTAATAAGTCTCCAAAAACCTCCAGATTGAATTAATCTAGCGCTCACCGGTGACTAGCTTCGAGAGGTGATTCCTGAAGTTCCAATGAGAAATAGTGACCAGTAGAGTCAACCAAGTTAAACATGATGATAGTGACTCAAAGACGACACTGGATCGAGGTTACGCTACATCATGAACTGACAGAAGTAGGAAATGTGGGCCATTGGATTCTGACCCAGTAGCTCAGTGGTAACGTGCTGGCCACGGGATCTGAAGGTCCCGGGTTCGATCCCTGGTGGGGTGGGGTTATGCGTGCGAACTGCTGAGGATTCCCATCCGGAGCTCCTAGGTTTCTGATGTTTTTCCAACTGATGTCAGTCCATGATGAACTCCAAACTGATCAAGTTTTGTTAATTCCAAGAAACCTAGAAACCTACTAACACTACAACTTAACCAGCAACTGCAATCAAATAGGAAGTTACTTTTTCGAAATATAACCAGTGAAATTCACTGAGATTCACACTTTGTCAGCGCTGAATACCATCCATAGTATAGTTATCAAATTAGTTTGGCTATAAATCTGAAACTAAGTCAAAACCTCACTTAACCAAATTAATGATTCAAGGCGAATAAAATAATTATCCGGCAGCTTCATCTCAAACATAGAAGAAATTTTCGCATTTCTTAATGATGATTGCATTAAAGATAATATTTACATTGAATACAAAACAATTGGTAACCGAAACCAACAAACCAAACATAACCCAACAACAAAATGTGTGAAACTATTCAAAGTTTGTAATCAGAAATAGTATGCTACAATATCACCAACACAATCATAGCGTAGCTGTAATTTCTATCCACTAAATACAAAGTGATACCGTTTCATAGTCTTAAGCAGTGTTCGACATTTTCCTAGACACAGTCTGAAAATAAGAAGAAAGAAGAAAGCCTTTAGTGTGTTATTGAAATTCAATTTTGAATCCAAGCAAACTTGTTATTTGGACATGATATTCGTTAAAGAATGACACCAGTCAGAGAGGTATTGAAAAGCTGTGATCACTGAACAATTATTCCGCCCTACTATGGGACTTTTCAGTAGTGCGCACCCACAACGCCACCAGGGATCGAACCCGGGACCTTTGGGTCTCGCAGCAAGCATGGTCTCATTTAGCCACCGGGTCCGAATCCAATAGTCCTTACTTTCATACTTCTGTAAATTCGCGATATACGGCAACCACCATTCAATGCTATTGTTGAGCATTTGTCCTCACATTCGACTTAGTTTGCCCCAAAGGTCCCGACTTCTCAATAGAACTGTGGGAAATCCCCATAAAACTCCAGAAGGAATTACTGACAAGCGCTTATTAACAACGTGCTTCGAGATGAGGGTTCTTGTGACTGGTGGGGTACACTTGGTGGGCGTGAGGACAAATACTCAACGATGACGTTGGGTGATGGTTGCACTATATCGTGAACTGATAGAAGTAGGCAATATGGGCCATTCAATTCCGACCCACTAACTCAATGGTAAACCTCGCCTGGTTAACTAGTTTACTAGTTACTAGCCGGTCCTAAGCCCGGGTAAACACGGAAGGTTGGGCATAGGGCTAGCAACCCTACCCCGTAAAACAAATCTAACTGCTAAAGAAACTTCAAAGCACAAACAAATATAAAAAATGAAAACAAACTTATTCCCCGCTGGAATCGGAGAGGCGAAATGACGCCAGTTGGTGAAAGCCTTCGGGAAGCCAATTGGCCGATGTATCTTCTCTCCCTAGACGAAAGCGAAAGTAAACGTGGGGACATGGAATGTCCGTACGATGTTTGAACCCAGTAAGGCAGCCCAGATTGCAAAGGAGATGAGAAGGTATCACATCGAAGTGCTTGGGATTTGCGAAAGCAGATGGAATGGGAGTGGACTCTCCAAACTGTCAACTGGAGAATCAATAATCTACTCCGATATTGTCACCCAGACGACAACCACGAGCACACTGAGTTATGGAGTGGCTATCATGATGTCCTCAAGAGCATCGAAGGCTCTCATGCAGTGGGAACCAATCTCCTCCACGATCATGACAGCAAGATTCAACTCAAAAGGAAGAAAGGTCACAATCATACAATGTTATGCACCTACAAATAACGCAGAGCAAGAGAAAAAGGAGGATTTCTACAGACAACTCCAATCAACACTGGAAAAGACGTCAGTTGGCGATATCAAAATTCAAATGGCCAACATGAATGCCAAACTGAGAGGGGACAACACGGGAAGACAACTAACCATGGGTCGAGAGGCGCTAGGTGAAATGAACGAGAATGGAGAATTGTTTGCAGAATTCTGCGCATTCAACGATTTGGTGATTGGAGGCAGTGTGTTCAGGCACAAAGATATCCACAAAGCGACATGGATTTCACCAGATGGACACACTAAAAATCAAATCGACTTTATCTCAATCTCAAGAAAATGGAGACGCAGCCAGCCTACTTGACACAAGGTCAAGAAGAGGAGCAGATGTAGGTTCACACCACTCACACCACTATCTAGTGCAAGGAACCTTCCAAATCAAGTTAAAAGCCTTCAAGGAAGCTGGTGATATACCTCAATTCAAGTACAACACTCGGAAACTGAAGGATGAAACTACAAAGGAGATCTTCAAGGCAGCCATCAAGACAAAATGGATGATATCGAGGAACATCCCTGAAGAAACCTGTGTGGAAGAACACTGGAAGTCTTTGAAAGAGATGTGGAAAGAAACCTGCACAACAGTATTAGGAAGGAAGAAGAAAGAAGACAAGGAATGGATCTCGACGGATACATGGAAGCTGATAGAGCAGGGAGAGGAGGATGGTGAAGCAGAAGATAAACCAGTGCAAGGATGCTCAACGACAAGAGGAACTGAGTACAACCTATAAAACACTACACTGGATAAAGAAGTGGAGAAGAGTGCACGGAAAGACAAAAGACACTTCTACGAAACACTGGCAAGTGAAGCAGAACAGGCTGCCGGCTGGTAGGAGAGACCTGACAACATTGTATCAAATAGCTAGGTTACTATCTGGGAAGAGATCAACACAGACGAAACCAGTAAGAGATGATGACGGAAATTTAATTACGAAAGAAGAGAAACAAAGCGAAGAATGGGCCGACCACTTCAAGAAGCTCTTGAATCGACCACCACCACCACCACCTGCACTTCGTCCAGAAATACCACCTGCAGCCGACTCACAGAACTACAAGTGAACATAAATCCTCCAACGAAAATGGAAGTCCTGAACGCCATAAAGCTACTGAAATGCGGGAAAGCAGCAGGACCAGATGGGATACCGCCAGAAGCACTGAGAACAGACGCAGAGACAACAGCGGACATGCTCACACCACACCACTATTGCAGAAGGTGTGGAAGGAAGGGAAGGTACCTGGCCATTGATTGGAAGAAAGGTTACCTTGTCAAACTGCCGAAGAAGGGAGACCTCAGTGTTTGCAAGAACTGGCGCGGAATCACTCTCCTGTCCACCCCAAGCAAAATATTAAGCCGCATCATCCTGAAGAGGCTCAAGGATGCACTGGACTCAAAACTACGACTGGAATAGGCGGGCTTAAGGAAGTACAAATCATGTGAGGACCAAATTGCAACGCTTCGCATCATCATAGAACAGAGCATAGAATGGCAATCAGCTCTCTACCTCAGCTTTATCGACTTTGAGAAGGCCTTTGACAGCGTCGACTGAGAGGTAATTCGGAAACTGCTTCATTACTACGGAGTACCGCAAACCTTTATCCGCCTCATTCAACAACTATATGAAGATGCCACATGCCAAGTAATTCACAATGGGAAGCTCAGTGATGCTTTAGAAGTGAAGTGAAGACAGGAGTGAAACCAGGCTGTCGACTATCACCGATGATATTCCTGATTGTGGTCGACTGGATCATGCAGCAAACAGTAGGCAGCGAGAAGAGGGGGATACGCTGGACGGCGGAAAAGAAACTAGGAGACTTGGATTTCGCCAATGATGACTTGTGCCTGATGTCATATAAACTAGAAGATCTACAGGCGAAAACTAACAAGTTGATAGAAGAGGCAGCGAAGACGGGACTTCAGGTGAATATATAGAGAAGACAGAGGTGATGAAGATACCGCACCACCACCATCAACAACAACAACAAACTCCAGTCACCATCAACGGGAGAAACTTAAAAGAAGTAACCTCCTTCACTTATCTAGGAAGCACTGTTTCAACTACAGGCGGGACGGACGAGGACGTCAAAGTCAGAATCGGAAAAGCAAGACAGGCGTTCATTAGCCTGAAACCAGTGTGGAGATCTTCTGCACTCAGCATGCGGAACAAGATACGGATTTTCAACACCAACGTCAAGTCAGTGCATCTGTATGGTTCAGAGACTTGGCGCGTCATGAAAGGCATTTCCAATAAACTACACATATTCATCAACAACTGCTTACGCTCACTCGCTACTGAAGATCAGATGGATTGCCAGAAAGAATAAGCAACAAGGAGCTCTGGGAACGAACCAACGAAGCAAGAACCTATCACGCAACAAATATGCAGGAGGAAGTGGAGATGGATTGGCCATGCACTGAGAAGGCCGACTGAGGACATCACGCGTCAGGCCCTCGAGTGGAATCCCCATGGGAAGCGACGAGTTGGACGTCCGAGGGTGACATGGAGGAGGTCGTGTGAGGAAGAAATGAGAGCTTGTGGGCTGTCGTGGAACCAGGTTCAAAAAATCTCAGAGAACAGGATGAAATGGAGACGTGCTACTGAAGCCCTATGTTCCACTAGGAACCCAAGGGACTAATAATAATAATAAATAATAATAAACTCAATGGTAACGTACTGACCACGGAACATGAAGGTCGTGGCTTCGAACCTTGGCGAGGTCGTGGGTACGCACAGCTAAGGAGTCCCTTAGTGGGGCGAAAATGCTGTCCGGTGCTCCCAGGTTTCTAATGTTTCTCTAACTGACTTCAGTCCATGATGAATACCTACTTGAAATTCGAAGAATGTTAGTTAAAGGAAAATGCTAGAATTTTTTTCAGATTATGGAGATGAGGAGACATGTACAGTGGGGAAGTTGAAAATTAGGTTTCATCTAATAGGGAAAGATGCTTAGGGATTTCTTAATGCCGAATCGGGGTTAAGATAGTTGGTAGTGACAAAACCAGTTTTTTTCTGAATACCACTTAAATTGTTTCACCCGAATTGCGACCACATCTGTCGTTAGTAGGATTCAAACCTTGATGTTTTTCGGCAAGTTGGTGGGAATGCGGTAAACAATTGAAAATGATTATTACCTTACTGCTAACAAAAAACCACTTAGATGCGAGCATACTTTGAAGGCGGCAACCAGTGAGATATTAATTTACAAACTACACAGGTCAATCAAAAAAGCTTTTAACGTCGGCAAATTATAAAATATGTTTTCCACACGCTTAACGGTGACACCGGGACTGAAAGATGAATTGACTAAACTGATCACTTGCTGTTGCGTTTGTCAGACTAACTGCTTCAACGAAGCTAGTGATGCCATCCGCTAACCCGGAAATTAAATTTTCCGTGCTCTTGAACACCTCTTGATATGGTTAAACAAAGTTGTAACAAAGACTACTAATAGCTCTATATTAGTTCACGTAGTTCTAACAAACCGTATGCAGGATATAAATAGGCCATTTTTGATTATCTAAAGGTGTAATATTTTTCAATACTATTGGCTATATTACTTATGAGAAGAGTGATTTCTTCAGTTTCTTACTCTCCTCTTATTGACCGTCTATTCCTGTCTGGGTATTTGCTCAAAATTAAGTCGGCATTCAGCTATATTGAACTGAATCAGTTGGAATGTATACATAGTCAAAAATACAGAACCACTAATTATTGCTACAAAATTATCAAATGAATAAAAAAAACTCCCACAACAACCTTATGCATACTGAGTCGAATAGCTCGACCTCCATTGGTAGATGGGCTCCTAAATGGATGCCTCGATATTGCCTGTATATTCATTATATTGTAGTCCATTTGATGGATACCAGTCCCTTTTATGAATTTGGATAATGTAATTAGAAGACGTAGATTATCTGAAAAATGTGATGTATTAGCGCTATACATTTCGAACAATCTGATCACACATTTACTTGTTAAGGCATTATACATGAAAACTGGAAGTGGGGGAAGGACAAATCAGAAAGATAATGGGAGGAATAAAAGATAATGCCTTAACAAGTAAATGTGTGATCAGATTGTTCGAAATGTATAGCGCTAATACATCACATTTTTCAGATAATCTACGTCTTCTAATTACATTATCCGGATACCAGTGTAATCCAGGAAGCGCGTTTCGCCCAGTCTGGGGCTCGTCAGTTGGGTACATCTGCACCCCCTGTGAGCGATGCTGTTCCTACGGAGACTTGAACCCAGTACGCATTGCTTCAACTGTAAAGCGATATCCACTAGGCCACTGGGCACGAGAGCCACTTCTTGTGCAACGGGTATCAGCTTGTTTACTGGTAAATGCTCGACCTCTGTCGGTAGTGGGAACAACATCACTCATTGGGATCCAGGTACATCCAGTTGGTAGGTCTCAAATAGGATGAAACGTGCGACCTGGATTCCACTGATAGCCATCGAATAGACTACTACCTCACCCACATTTGTGCAGGTGGGAGTGAGTTACAACTATTGTGTGTGAAGGCAAACGATACTGCTTGGCTGCCCAAACCTCATTAGGGAAAGAAGAGCTAGGACCCGTGACTCAATGACTGAGAGTCAATTGCCTAGATCAATGAGCTAAAGCTCCTCTGTCAAATGAATGATTATAAGGGATGTAAACAACGTAAGAGAAAATATTATGATAACAGAATCGATATGATGACGATAGATCTGGAAGCGATTTTATCCTACACAATATTCTTCATCATCTGACTATCTGAGATAGCCGTAGTTTGGCAGACTATTTATTATTTATGCTGGGTGATGATTGAAGGTGAGACGAAAATCTGGATCGTACCCGGATTCGAACCAGCGACCAGCGAGCAGCCAGTGTGAATAAGATCAAACGGTAGTAACGCGTCATGAATTCACATGGTATTCAGGCAAAACCCTTGGTGATTGAAGTGAAATAAAAGAAATCTGGTCATCACTCGGACCTCGTAGCTCAGTTGGTAGAGCACTAGGCCGGTAACCCGGTGGTCACTGGTTCAAATCCAGCCGCGGTCCAGATTTTCATTTCAACTTCAATCATCATCTAGTATAAATACAATATTCTTCGTTTTTACTATCACTGAGTGCATGGTAATACTTGGTAGCGATCTAGAGTGGAATTGTACACTGCATATTTCTCTGTTTAGGATTTGTCAGCTGGATAAGCTCAAATATGTAGTCATAAGACTTGATATTTCTACTGTAACTGACTTCCATACGCCAAGAATTTATTCGAATTTTCAAAACTAGTCAGTTTTTGGGAACCTAAGATTCCCAACTGTTTGAATATCTTGATACATCAGATAAAATTCACCAGTTTCACAGTTGTGAACAGTAGTATTCACACAAATTTCGAGGTACTTACAACAAGAAAATTTTGTACACATCGATCATATTCCGAAACAAGCTTGGAACACAAGAGTACCTTCCCAGCATTCTGTTTATAACAATCTTCAACTCTTTGTTCAGCTGCAGCACAACAGCCACCGGGAGTTGGTCTCCTAAAACACAAAAGTAGACATTAATGTAATGAGACTGTGTTAAACGGAAGTCACAATAGATGATATAGCAACTAACAGCCATTCATTTCTTTGTATAATTAACAAAAGACAATTAAGGAGTTTCTTTTCGATGAATCATTTTCAAAAGCTATGCAGTTGTAATCATAGTTACAACAAAGCATATATTTACCAATACCAAATAGGTCACCACAAGGTCACCAAAAAGGTCAATAAAGTGACAAGGTGATTTGTGGCGGGAAGGTCAACCCAAGGTTATCAAAACATTCCTATGAGATTACAATAAATAAACAAATGATTAAGAAATGAATAAATAAAATATCTTAGGGATGTTATGATCAAGGTGAAACTAGAGATTGAACGTATCTCTTTCGAATGTAAAGATTAGACTTGAAATACTGAACTGTCAAAACTTCTGCGATGCTAAGTTGGCTTATCAGTATTCTCTTCGAAATGTTTGATTTGATTTTATAAATGAATTTGAAAGAAGACTCTCATGAGTATAGTTGAACAGAGTTACTCAGATATCCAAGAATCGAGCTGTAAATCACTTTCCATTCTCCTCTGGACAACCGTGGAGGATAGTGTGCAGAGATGCACTTGGATACAACACGCTATGTGTGGTCTATGTAGCCAACTCCATATGAGCAGGTGAATTGGTAAATAAACATGGAGATGGCCCAAAGCGGTAGTTTATCTATTGCACACCCTCGAATCAGTTTTCGACTGAAAAAGCATAATCCGAAGCTGCGCGGAAAAGAAAGTCTACTCCATTACTTTGTATAGTCGATTCTTTAATATCTCTCTCTATCAGTGTTCCTCCTTGAATCCACTATTCATAAACAGTGCCTTCTTTGGAACCGTAGAGGTTTCTTCTTTAGAATTCTCAGACCTCATGTTCCTCTTAATGAATCTTGAAGCGTAACCGCTGTTGATTAACACTCTTCGAAGTATTTCCAGCTCCTCATTTACTGCATCATTCGCACAAATTCTTCCAATTCGAGTGCATAGTGGATGAACTAGATTTCTTTTCTCTACTAATGGAACCCAACTTTAAAAATGAGTATATTGACCATTTCCATGTTTGTTTTCTGTAAATCTATCTCCTTAGAGAATCATCATGTCTTCTCAATAGAGCGTTTGGGGAGTGGAATTCTGAGTTACTTTAAATTACCATGATAAATTTAATTGATTTATGACATTCATCATTTAACTTTCATAGCATTTCTTTAAGGTTATTGTTCTCCTCAAAGATGATGAAAATGCCATCCATGTGTCGCTTCCAGAGATTAACGACCTAGACTACGGAATACTATTATTTCGGTTACAATATCCGTTAGTTTATGAAGCAGTTTCCCATGATACAGTGAGGCTATTAAGTACATGTAAAGGAATTCAGAACACTTCTATACACATTAGCAGTAATTAGTATTACAGATTTGATGTGACTATGTTTCTAATTGTTCGGTCCATGTATACATTACACTCATTCAATCCAGTGCCGGTTCACAAAGTGTAAACAACCATAAAGTTGGAAAAATACTCAAATGATAGGAAAGATAATCTATGAAAGAAACTTGAAATTTGATGTATAGTTATTTAGCTACCATATGTACTCAGTAATATGAAAAATTCTGACGTTTTTGTGATCACCACTAGTTTTTCATAATCAATAGAGTTTATCCCTATGAAACAGATGAGTATCAGTTAGAAATTCTAGAAAAGCGAACACAATAATGGAATAAAGCAATAAAAAGTCTTATGAATGCACTGAACAGAAATCTGAGCATATTTGGTATGTGTTTCTCTGGTACCTATCAAATGTAAGATTATGCTCCTTGTGTCTGCAACCATTCCCAGTTTAATGATAGGAAGTGAAGTAGTGGAATGTGTCGACCAGTTCACTTATTTGGAGAGTTGCAGCACCACACCAAACAGGGTGGTTGCTGATGGAATCTCAGGTCGGATACAGAAGGCCTGTTTTCGCACTCGCCAACTTTGATCACCTGTGGTGTCGACTGGTGAGTTATCCGATTATCTATCAAAGGACAAATATACTGCGCTGCAGTCAGTTCTGTCACGTTGCGCGGCTGTGAGATATGGGCGTTCAGAGTAGATATGAACCAGTTACAGATTCCCGATCATAGGTGTCTTTATAGGATTACTCGCGTGTGGTGGAATCACTGTATGAGCAGTGTTGAAGTCAGGCGAAAAGTATTAGGTAAGTCGGTTGATGATATTGTGAACTTTAGTCAACTGAGATAGTTTAGACATGAACTGCACATGCCGAGCCACCGCCTACCTAAACGTGCTATGATGGGGGAAGTTGGATTAAGGTAGAAGGGCGTCCAGGGTGGCCAGACCAGGACCTGGCACCAGTCGATGAAATCTATGACTGTTGGCTTGAGCTGTGTGGGGAAATATAGACTGCCTGGTTGGGGTCCCCGAGACGATATGAATCAGTGGCTGAGAAGTCTTGGTGACATGGTTGAAAATCGGTCAAAGTGGTTCACATGTATTCACTCCTTGACATCTCCTAAAGCGTGATTATTCACACTAACCGTTATCTTCAGATTGTTTATTCCCTCACACTACATTATCTATTTTGCTTTCACTCTTTTTCTATCCACCTGTTCTTTGTGTACTACTGTGAAGTGTAGCAACTTGAGACGATGCACCTCCGCGGGAAGTTCTAAGTTGATTTTGTCAATCAGTGTATCAGTCACTGGCCACTAGCCTGGTATTACAATTATCATTGTCAAAACTCAGAGAACAATAGACAATTTGATGCACCCTAATTGTTAAGTAGACGGATTGTCTATAGTAGGTAGGCAGAGACGCGGTAGCACTCTACAATAATGCAAGTCTGAAATATCCATGGTAGTGTAAGCTGTTAGAATGGGATTTTGAGACGGAAAGACTCATCTGCGAACAACAGTCAAACACAAATTGTTCTCAGTGGTGAAGCTAAGTCAACAGCCCAAATGTACCTTTTATTTTCTTTTAAAACATGTGGCAATCCGAGTTACTGTATTCTTGTTTCAGAGTTTTGTTGATGATACTGAACACAAGCTGTACAACTGACTCTTAGAGAGTTAAGTACTATCAAAGAAGTGAGGAATAAGTACATCCTGATTTTTAAGTTGGTATTTATCATAGACTGACACAAGTTAAAGAAAAATTTAAAACCTGGAAGCACTGCATAGCTGCTTCGTTCTAGTATGGGACACTTCAGCAGTGAGCACCCACGACCCCGCCCAGCCAGGGATGGAACCCAGGACCTTCAGGCTCCGCGGCCAGCACGTTATCATTCAGCCACTGGGTTGGAAGCGAATGGTCCACATTCCCTACCTTTGTCATTTCACGACAGCACGATTCTCACCCAACGTCACTGTTGAGTATTTGTCCTCATAACTATCAGGTTTTCCCTACCGGTCAAGAATTCTCATTGGAACTTCAGAAATCACCTCGCATAGCTGGTCATCAATGGCCACCAGTGCAGTACAGTAGATCTCCACACTGATTTCAGGTTAATGAAGACATGTCTTGCTGTCTTTCCGATGCTGGCTTTGACATCCTCATCTATGCCGCCACCGCCGCCTGTAGTTGAAACGATGCTGCCTAGGTAGGTAGGTGGGTGAGAGACAACTTCCTTTAGGTTTCTCCCGTTGATGGTGATTGATGCTTGTTGTTGTTGGTTGGGTATCTTCATCACCTCTGTCTTCTCTACGTTCGCCTGAAGTCCCGTCTTCACTGCCCTATCTCTTCTGCCAATTTGTTAGTTTTCGCCTGTAGATCTTCGAGTTTGTGCGAGCTCTTCAGCATACAGCAAAATGACTAATCTTTGGTTGAGTTGGAGCATTGATAAGACCTGGTATTCACAACTATAAGAGATGTCAATGAACATTCAGAGAAGAGACTTTGTGAATATTTTTTCTGTACTGAAAATTAACGTGCAGTGGAGTAGAAACTAAGTGCGTGGTGAGGTGGGAAAAGGGGAGTAGTGGGTAATTATCCTGTAGTCCATCATGAAAATAGAATATTAACATGATATGGCATTAGAAATGTGGGTGGAAAAACATCAGGTTTATGCTAGCAGTAAGAAAATAATGACATTCGTATTATTAAAAAAATTACAACCCACATATGAATAGGGACAATGAAGGTAGATCGAGACTTTTATTTATAACACTGGAAATATGCTAGGATGCATTTTTACAACTTACATGTACTTGTTTTCTAAGCGTTCTACTGTACGAGTGTATTCTTCTGCAGCCTCCTTAAACAACTGTTCATTCTGAAACAGAAAAAGAATATCTGTTACAACTATCTCAGAAGACATCAAAATCAACAAAATATAAGCCAAATCGAGAATTTTTTTTCTTCTACACGTTAATCAACTTTTTGGAATAATACCGGGCTTGGAAAATGCTATATTGACTCAAGCTATTGCACTTATAAAGCAGTACGATAAAAGTGACAAGGAAAGTGGATTGGAATAAAAAGAAAAGATGATGAAGTATGACCAAGATATAACATATGAAAGTAAACAAACCTAGGGAACAAAGGCAAATAATAGTTGCTAGTGGAAGGCATAACTTTGCGGCATTAAATGATCTTCTTATGGCATTTCTTAAGCGTTGTATCATAATTTCGCTGATGATGTCACCTCGAAATGGTCTCTTGGAGACTGTAGGTATTCTGGTTTTCATATTGGACGTGTCCATATTTTTAGCCAGAAACGTTTCTGGATATCCATTACTACTGAGTAGATCATGGATAATTTGAAGCTCTTCGTCAAAAGGAACATCTGAACAGATGAGTCTAGCCCGATGGACCGAACATTTAACTAGATTTCGTTTATATTGCAAGGGGACGAAACTCAAGAAGTGGGCGTATTGACCTGTTGACGTTGGTTTCCGATGTAGACTTTTTTTACAGTTCCATCCACCTTCCTTGTGAATCGGACATCTAAGAAAATGATGCTGTCGTCACTTTCTGTCTTAATGGTGAAAGTTATCGCTGGATGGACGCTATTGAATTTATCTAGTATAATCCTTGCATCGTTCTCGTCATTCGCAATCAAGAATGTATCATCTACATAACGGCTGTAGAATTCTAAAACGCTTATGATACTTTCCAGAGGGCCACTTTCTAATTTCGCTAAGATGAAATCCGCTAAGATTGGGACTAGTGGTGACCCCATAGCAACACCGTTTGACTGTTTATAGAATTCCTTATTGAAGAGGAAGTGTACATTCACTGTACATCGTAAGAGAAGCTCTTGCAAGGTAGATGCCGTAATTCCAATTTCTATACTTCTCTTTTCCAGTTCCTATATGTGAAGTCCAAGGTTCCATCAGAGGGACCATTTGTGAATAGGGATGATATGTCTAAGGATATCGCAGACTTATTATTCACATTCAGATCTCTTATCAATAAAGTGAAGGGTATCTTTGACGCTATGCTTTAAAACCTCCTTATGCCTCTTTCTTTGCCTTGGCCATCTGCATAGCTTATTTATTACAACAAGACCCTTCATTTCATTCATCCCACAATTGATTACCCTAACCCTAACCATGGGTCGAGAAGCGCTAGGTGAAATGAACGAGAATGGAGAATTGTTTGCAGAATTCTGCGCATTCAACGATTTGGTGATTGGAGGCAGTGTGTTCAGGCACAAAGATATCCACAAAGCGACATGGATTTCACCAGATGGACACACTAAAAATCAAATCGACTTTATCTCAATCTCAAGAAAATGGAGACGCAGCCAGCCTACTTGACACAAGGTCAAGAAGAGGAGCAGATGTAGGTTCACACCACTCACACCACTATCTAGTGCAAGGAACCTTCCAAATCAAGTTAAAAGCCTTCAAGGAAGCTGGTGATATACCTCAATTCAAGTACAACACTCGGAAACTGAAGGATGAAACTACAAAGGAGATCTTCAAGGCAGCCATCAAGACAAAATGGATGATATCGAGGAACATCCCTGAAGAAACCTGTGTGGAAGAACACTGGAAGTCTTTGAAAGAGATGTGGAAAGAAACCTGCACAACAGTATTAGGAAGGAAGAAGAAAGAAGACAAGGAATGGATCTCGACGGATACATGGAAGCTGATAGAGCAGGGAGAGGAGGATGGTGAAGCAGAAGATAAACCAGTGCAAGGATGCTCAACGACAAGAGGAACTGAGTACAACCTATAAAACACTACACTGGATAAAGAAGTGGAGAAGAGTGCACGGAAAGACAAAAGACACTTCTACGAAACACTGGCAAGTGAAGCAGAACAGGCTGCCGGCTGGTAGGAGAGACCTGACAACATTGTATCAAATAGCTAGGTTACTATCTGGGAAGAGATCAACACAGACGAAACCAGTAAGAGATGATGACGGAAATTTAATTACGAAAGAAGAGAAACAAAGCGAAGAATGGGCCGACCACTTCAAGAAGCTCTTGAATCGACCACCACCACCACCACCTGCACTTCGTCCAGAAATACCACCTGCAGCCGACTCACAGAACTACAAGTGAACATAAATCCTCCAACGAAAATGGAAGTCCTGAACGCCATAAAGCTACTGAAATGCGGGAAAGCAGCAGGACCAGATGGGATACCGCCAGAAGCACTGAGAACAGACGCAGAGACAACAGCGGACATGCTCACACCACACCACTATTGCAGAAGGTGTGGAAGGAAGGGAAGGTACCTGGCCATTGATTGGAAGAAAGGTTACCTTGTCAAACTGCCGAAGAAGGGAGACCTCAGTGTTTGCAAGAACTGGCGCGGAATCACTCTCCTGTCCACCCAAGCAAAATATTAAGCCGCATCATCCTGAAGAGGCTCAAGGATGCACTGGACTCAAAACTACGACTGGAATAGGCGGGCTTAAGGAAGTACAAATCATGTGAGGACCAAATTGCAACGCTTCGCATCATCATAGAACAGAGCATAGAATGGCAATCAGCTCTCTACCTCAGCTTTATCGACTTTGAGAAGGCCTTTGACAGCGTCGACTGAGAGGTAATTCGGAAACTGCTTCATTACTACGGAGTACCGCAAACCTTTATCCGCCTCATTCAACAACTATATGAAGATGCCACATGCCAAGTAATTCACAATGGGAAGCTCAGTGATGCTTTAGAAGTGAAGTGAAGACAGGAGTGAAACCAGGCTGTCGACTATCACCGATGATATTCCTGATTGTGGTCGACTGGATCATGCAGCAAACAGTAGGCAGCGAGAAGAGGGGGATACGCTGGACGGCGGAAAAGAAACTAGGAGACTTGGATTTCGCCAATGATGACTTGTGCCTAATGTCATATAAACTAGAAGATCTACAGGCGAAAACTAACAAGTTGATAGAAGAGGCAGCGAAGACGGGACTTCAGGTGAATATATAGAGAAGACAGAGGTGATGAAGATACCGCACCACCACCATCAACAACAACAACAAACTCCAGTCACCATCAACGGGAGAAACTTAAAAGAAGTAACCTCCTTCACTTATCTAGGAAGCACTGTTTCAACTACAGGCGGGACGGACGAGGACGTCAAAGTCAGAATCGGAAAAGCAAGACAGGCGTTCATTAGCCTGAAACCAGTGTGGAGATCTTCTGCACTCAGCATGCGGAACAAGATACGGATTTTCAACACCAACGTCAAGTCAGTGCATCTGTATGGTTCAGAGACTTGGCGCGTCATGAAAGGCATTTCCAATAAACTACACATATTCATCAACAACTGCTTACGCTCACTCGCTACTGAAGATCAGATGGATTGCCAGAAAGAATAAGCAACAAGGAGCTCTGGGAACGAACCAACGAAGCAAGAACCTATCACGCAACAAATATGCAGGAGGAAGTGGAGATGGATTGGCCATACACTGAGAAGGCCGACTGGGGACATCACGCGTCAGGCCCTCGAGTGGAATCCCCATGGGAAGCGACGAGTTGGACGTCCGAGGGTGACATGGAGGAGATTGTGCGAGGAGGAAATGAGAGCTTCTGGGCTGTCGTGGAGCCAGGTTCAAAAGATTTCGGCGAACAGAGTTCACTGGAGACGCGCTACTGAAGCCCTATGTTCCACTAGGAACCCAAAGGAGTAATACTAATAATAGTATTATAATAATAATATTTTAAAAGCTCTATTATTATTATTACAGTTTTAGCCATCTTCCTCTCCCTTTACTATCTCTAATTACCGGCAACAATCTAGCACTTTACGTAACAGTTTATTTTTGCTCTTTAGTTACCATTATACAAAATATCATTACTATACATAGTTAAAAAGACAGGCAATATCGAGTCATCCGCATAGGAGCCCATATGCCAAGAGAGACTGATCAATCCGGTCTAATCAACGACGGTGTAATACAAGCAATAACACTAAACCTATACCCGTCGCACAAGAAGTGGCTATCGTGGCTCGGTGGTGTAGTGGATAACGTTCTGGCGTTTGAAGCGATCGCTCCCGAGTCCAAGTCCCGGTGGAAACAACATCACTCACTGAGAGGCAGGCACATCCAGCTGATGAGTCCCAAATAGGATGAAATGCGCATCCTGGATCCCACTGCTAGCCACTGTCCATCATTACTATATATGTATGAATCTGTTTAAAATCTCACAAAATCTTTCTACCATAATTAATCTATGATTTAGTTAATTGTTTTAATTACCTGATCAATTATCACCTTCTTCATACTTTGAGATTGATAACCTTTCATTAAACAACTCTCACCACTAGATTGGTATGTAATTTTACGTTTCGAAAATGCTATATTAGTGCACAGCCATTGATGAAGAACTAATTGAAAAGAAATATTTCTTCGCCCACATTGTTTGGTTTACTAAATGTCTAAATGGGAATTTTTGCATTACTCAAATTTCACAATTAAACCGATAGTTGACTTTATAGACACCGCAAAATATGCATATATTTAGCATCGATATTATGTCCCACTAGAAACCCCTCGAAATCTAGATTAACAAATCCATATTAAATGAAACAAATGCTGGATAATCTTCAAATAAACAAGTTTATTTATCAACATGCCAGTCAATAGAGCTCCGGAAGCAGGTAAAAGTGACCTGAACACATACTCAACTCACTCAAAGAACTGAGGTACCTAATGAAGAGATCATGTTGGGGGTTTTGTTATGTATCACCTTCACAGTTTTCAAGAGAAAATATATGGACAAACCTAAGAAGTAGCGATGGGATCATCAATATCTCCAGTTGTATGGCTCTGAGAACATTCAATTCTACTCTGATGATATAGTAGAAGTATATGAACAATAATTTCAGTCTCGAAACCGGAACATATTCACAATTTCTCCCCACATAAACTCGGTGACATAAGGGATTTATTTACTCACGAGTTAGAAAATGAACAAAGGACAATTAGCCACTCTAGATTGCGAAAAACAACAAAGACAAGACGGTGGTCACTAAGATGAATATGACATCACGAATATCCGGCAGCAGCGATTCATCCGCATAAAAGATTTGTCAACACAGGTCGAGAAGCTCTGATTGACTGGCAAAACCAACATATAACCTTGCTCACAGGTGCATCGTTTCAGGTTGCTACACTTCACAGTAGTACACAAAGAACAGATGGATAGAAAAAGAGTGAAAGCAAAATAGATAATGTAGTGTGAGGGAATAAACAATCTGAAGATAACGGTTAGTGTGAATAATCACGCTTTAGGAGATGTCAAGGAGTGAATACATGTGAACCACTTTGACCGATTTTCAACCATGTCACCAAGACTTCTCAGCCACTGATTCATATCGTCTCGGGGACCCCAACCAGGCAGTCTATATTTCCCCACACAGCTCAAGCCAACAGTCATAGATTTCATCGACTGGTGCCAGGTCCTGGTCTGGCCACCCTGGACGCCCTTCTACCTTAATCCAACTTCCCCCATCATAGCACGTTTAGGTAGGCGGTGGCTCGGCATGTGCAGTTCATGTCTAAACTATCTCAGTTGACTAAAGTTCACAATATCATCAACCGACTTACCTAATACTTTTCGCCTGACTTCAACACTGCTCATACAGTGATTCCACCACACGCGAGCAGTGCTACGAAGACACTTCCCAGCTGCCCACACCGTGGAAGGCTATTTCTTCTCAAAGTACCTTAAAGAGGAAAAGATTTGTGATCGTAGGGCCAAAGGGACACCTGGTTGAGGCCTGTCACAAGCGGCCTTTTGCGGGATGTTTCGAGTTCTGGTTCTTCTAACGCCACATAGAGAGAACCCATATCGCTGGCATCGGAAGATTCTACAGCAGGAAGGATCGTGCCATTTTTGGGGTCCTTTTCTAACCACCTCTACCCTTTGGGAACGCAACACCAAACAGGCACTGCTGTTCCTTGGAGGGAAACATCTCACTGCTGTCACACCTCATGCAGCTAGCAGCAGCACGAGTCCGCCCCCAGAACCCCCGCCCTCCATCTTAGTGTAGTAATTAACACTACAACGGCAACTACTTTTCGTGTTAAGACTATCCAACAGACCTTTGTGGCATGGTAGGACCTCGAAGGAACAAGGGTGGCAACCGGGATAGCTCGTAGAGTCATTGCAGTATGCAAGCCCGACCACCACGTGAAGGCAGCAGTTATCGGCTGGTGTTTAAGTACCGCTCCATCCACCAAGGTTTAGGCAATCATGTAGTTCCCTTGGCCGCTAAGCAATAGATGTCATCCAGTGGCTACTGAAAGAAAGTGTACAGGGTTTCTGAGTGGATTTCGAATTCTGTTATCTTCGAAGTCTTGCGTATCTTTATTTACCTTTATCTATTTATTGTGCTCCCACACACTTTTTTCCATCATTAGGTTGTTCTTTTGCAATGTACTTATTCTCTATATGCTGTTGTGAAGAAATACAAGTTGAATTGGTAGTACTGATTTTAATTTTCATACCAAGAGTAACATGATTAAGGTTGTTTTTTTCTCTGCTCTGTCCATTCCTATATTTCCTATTAACTTCATTTACCCTTTTCGTAAATTGGCATATGAATAGTTCGACAAGTACATGTGTGGTCAGATTATCCGAAATGTATAGAGCTAATACATCCCATGCCACGTAACACAACACATTCAAATAACCTACATCTCACTGTCTGAAACTCCAGTGTCAGTCATTCGTACGTGACGAATGTTATTATATCAATCAAAATTGTAGGAAGCTGTGTTTTCCGCGAAAGATAAACTTACACGGTGTTCTAAAAGTTGAAGACGTTTTTCGTATCTTCTTTCCGCTTCTTCTAGTTCACGCTTTAAGCCTAGACTGTATTCTGGTTTGAAAGATTCGGGAGTGTGGACCTCATCTAAAAATACGTAGTTCAGAAGTTGACAGTCAAACCTTTGATATCACTAACGGGAATAGCAGCTTTTCTGATCCTGTCGACGACATCTTGACTGACCTTTTAAGTGTTACGTACCTAAATAACTTACTATAATATCATCAGGATGAAATGTCACATCCCGTGCTTCAGTAGTTGATGCGACAGCACCCATTTCTGTAAAAAAACTAACCATTACGTCAATAAAAAATTTGACAAGAGAAAAACTCGTGCTAAAAATATTTATTTATCTTGGATAGTAACATTTATGAAGTTGATTCAGTGATCCATTTAAGGTATGGGGCATAACCATCCTCGATATTTAAACCAATAACTTCTGGGCATTCATAAGGATGAATTCCCTTCACAGTTTCCGTTAAGGTAGGAATCAATTTCGTCTGTGTTTTAGCTATCAACAATAACTCTTCTGAATTCTCGATCTTGCCTTTCCAAAGGTAAATAGATTTGACAGATGGTACTATGTTAACACAAGCAGCCAGCTTTTTACTAACCAAGGTATTTGCAATAGACTCAGCAACTGTTGAATTAGGGCAAGTGATCAGAGCAACAGAATGCATTGACGTTTTGCAAAACCAAAGGCTGCTACCAAGTGAAGAGATTACTAAACCTATCAAGAAAGTATAAATGTAATTCCACATTAGCACGGGCAGATAATAAAGTGGAAAACGACTAAAACTCAATCTGTACTGACTGTGTCCTTGAAAACGAAAATTCCTCAGCATCCAATATCCAATATCTTTTTAACGAGCTTGTGTAAACCAATTGATTTCTTCGCGCTTGCTTCTTGGTCTTGCATGTGGTGTGACATTGAAATTTCAATATATGAAGCAATAGAAACTGACAGTTTTCAAATTCTCCGGTTCAGTTCTTGAGGCTTCAAGACTTAAGTATCAGAAACGGAAAACGATTTCCTTTTTTTCTCGATGCCTAAGTTACTCAAAATCTTTCTCTGTTTGGAATACATCCAACATTAATAGTGCAAGTGGAGGAGACTTGAAGTTTTTTAATTCTCGTGTCTAGGCCTTGACACTCAGCCATCTTTGTTCGGTTATGATCCTTTTGAGATCACAGAAGTCTCTTCAACTTACCCGCGTATAGCTTTTGAGGTAGTCACTGTCAATTCGAAGGTTTCCTTTGGCGAGTTGTCGGCTGGTTTGTTTGAGGGTAGAGTGTCGAATAAATCCATAAAACAATGGCCTGGGGTTTGATAACGCTTAACTTTGATGCTGAACCCCCGTAATTTTAATGGAATTGTTAGGCTGAAGGCACACGGTCAGACAATCACACCACTTGGCAAGTTTTAATGTTTCGCATGAGTGCACGCACACGATCCCCCAGCCAGCTGGACCAAACGCATCGGTATTCCAACACGCACTACCAAGCATACCATCTCATCCGGCTACTCTATTGTGTTCATTCCTGGTCTCGAACTGGTGGATGTGTAATAAGTACTAATAATTAGCGATTGGCCTTTGTGTTTGCCAAGTTCGTGCAGACTGATTTCTCTAGAAGACCAGCGCAGCTGCCCAAAAAACCCATCACCCTTTTGCGATTTCCATTCATGATTGCACTTGCAAGAAAGTCATGGGCATTAACAAAAACGTCTTGCGGAAACCAAGGTGAGTGAAGAACAACAGAAGAGGATGGAAAACACTTATGAAAAATAGGTGTTAATAATAACAATGTAGAGAGATTATGGGTCATAGTGTAGCTACTGGGATCGGATAACATAGGAAGGGATGAATATGCCCTCAGTTACCACTTGAGCACGCAGCTGGCAGGCCGTTTTGCTGGTGTACTTGTCGCACATTCTTTTGACAAAGTTAACTGAGATGATCGTGGCCACTCCTTTTGGCACAGCCCTTTACAACATACACGCTGTGTTAGAAGAAACTGGATCTGAATCTCGTCTTAGTCTTCCGGTAAGGTATGTGGCGTAGTATTGGACTGATAATATGATCCTGTCGGGAGTGGTGTACTCTATCGTTAGCCTTCTGGGCTGTATTTAGGCTGCCTCTTTCCCTCCGATAGCGTAGGGCGGATAATTTGAGTTGTCTATGGCACTGTACATATGTTTTACCGGTTGGCCTCATAAATGACCCAGTCGACATTCTCTGCCCCTTCTTGTGAACGTCCGCATCGCCCTTTGATAGGGCTGCGACTGTCGTGCCGTGACCCTCTAAGCACGGTCCAACGGGCGTTTCAAAATCCATGGGAGATAGTTTAGGCTACGCGGTCTCTAACTGCCTTTTTAGAAAATCTATGACTGCCTTCGTCTCTGGCGCAGATCTCTGAGAGAAGTTTAGCTCCAAGTCCTCCTCCATCTATACGCAGATGATTGCGCACTTGCCGTAGGTGTAGCTAGTTTTCATCGCTATCAGTGTGTGAAGATATACTACTTTGCGCTTCTCCAGGTTAAGGCTGAAAACGTTCTCAGCTGACCGGAGCTGAAACTGCGGTGGACAATAATAATGATACTAAGATCATCCTGCATCATCCCAGGATCCTCTTTGCAGGCTATGGTCCTTCATTTACCAGTTTCGTCAGCAAACGGAAGGGCAGACGAAAGTATTTGAACATAGAGATCACTTATGGAGAGCAACATTAAAAGCGACATTAGAATGCCGTCTTGGATGCCGTCTTGCAAATCCCCAAAATCTTCGGCCATCTAAGCATGCCGCAAGCCGCGTTATGAGTGGTTCAGTGATCTCACTTTTTCAAGTTTGTGAGCATGGAGTTCAGAAAGACAACCTGAACTGATTGCATGTTGTCCCATCTACTTGTTCAGTCATCCAAAGCGGTCGTCCGATCCAGTATCCAATATTGATGGTGCAAGCGTAGAAAACTGATGGTTTTTGATCGCTCGCGTCTAGTTCTTGGGGCTTTTCTCGAGTTGTCTGGTTCACTCCCGAAGTGGACACTGAAATCTCTCCTACTTTGTTGTCTCTAGATCTGGTGGGGTGGATGTTTTGTGAGTTGGTAGGGTACAGCTTGTAGAGTAATTGGACTAATGCGAGTCTCTGGGGAGGTTAGAGGACTGCCATGACTCCTGTCTGTGCAGGCACCTGACTGGGAATAGTAGTAAGGTGGTAAAAGTAGATGACATAGGTCTGGTATCTAAAGAAGAAATATTAGGTAATGTGGGCGTATTCAGGAGAGATATAGTGAGTGATAGGTACAAGGGAAATGAGGGTGGGCTAGTGAGGTCAGTAACTCCCTGAGTACGTCCGCGGTAGACCTTGCGAAGTGACGTGACTGTCTAACCATCCCTTCCACAGAGCACATGATCACCAGGAGAAAAAGTTGGACCTGATCGTGGTATTGGCTATCTGATGTGCCATCCAAGTGATGTTTCTTCATGATGACCGCCGTGTTGCAAGCAACGTCAATTTGTCAGCATGGTTTCTTTGATGGGTGATCTGTCAGGCCATAGTAGTGTCACCCATGTTCCTGCGATAACCGACGTCGAATAGGTTTAAATGTTTTAGTGTTTCCGGATATGTCTTCTTCCTCAGCCCTACAAGTGATTTCGCTGCAGATCCCGGTGTTTTTTTAATGAGGCTAGAGTCACTCTTGAGTGTTGGGGAGACACCTTATCGGAGAACCCTAGGTGTGGCCGTACTTAGAATTTGAAAACTGCGAAGAGTTCAGGGGTGAGGGCTCCAAGCTGTTTACGCAGATAGCGCAAAATGGTTTTAGCTACGGTTGCCATGTCTTTGTAGTTGGACCTGGTGTTCAAGGTGTTGGAGAAGCTGGCCGCCATATCTTTCTCCATGGACACTCTGGTGATGGCACGGTTGCTCAACATGTGCTGGAAGTCGGACATGCTTGCTTCAATTTACTGGCATGCACTGCTTCACACTTTCCAGATTAAAGTTCAGGCCATTTCCAACGGCCGAAGTCCAAGTTGATGCGAGCCATTTTGTAGTGCTGTGCAGTTGGCTTCTTCATTTGCTTCCTTCAAACGTCAACGTCATCAGCGAAGAGGAGGATGGATGAGGATATTTTGTTTAGCAGATCACTGACGAACAAGAGGAACAGAAGCGGTCAGGCTTGTGGTACGTGACCGCCTGGTTCCGAATCCACGTGGGGCAAACCTTGAGGTTTTGCCCCCTTTTTTCACGCCCGCCTGCCTTGGACTACTAAGTTCAACCATGGGATACTTTTCATCAAATTCTTTCCTTTCAATTTGTTTCGATCATCCAAATATGTCCCCCGAACACATCATATACTGCTGCACGCTTTAAACTGCTTCCAACTCTCCGGCTCCCGAGTCAATAACGAAGCAGACAAAAAATGTTATGTTTTATGGAAATGGACTTTACGGTGCAAAAACGTGCGCATACTTCCATCCGTCAGATGCTTAGCTCGAGTCGCGGATGTTTTGTACAGCTTGAATGAACCGCAACCACCAAAAATGCGCCCGTATTTCCGTTGATTCTACATTATGGACTGGATGCCCATGTAGGACCAGCTAGTTGTTTCGCATTATTGCCTTGAATACTGTTATTATTAACATCATTCCGATGCGACAACCGTTTCATCTGAAGGTTTTATTTCGGGGGTAAATTTGCCGAACCATTACATGCACAGAATTCCACACTGTCATACATATTTTTTGACGTAAAGAGGTTATAATTATAAATATTATTGCTAAGTCCAAGCAACATCCGCAAGCAGCACCTTGGATATTATGTGAGGGAACGCCGTCGGTCAGTAACTGCATGGGTTTATTCGAGATCCTCTTTTAAAGATTGGTGAAAGGATGGTGCGCTTCCATTCTTTGGGGATGTGACTTACTCTTAAAGAGTACTAGATAGAGTGCATATATAGGTATGTCTCAGAACATCTTCGTTTGGTCACCGACCTTATGTCGTCACATTCAGGATATTTTCCTGTTCTGAGCATGGATAGTACACCAGACACTTGGTTTGATGAAATCTCTATGTTCACCAGGTTTGTATCACAATCCTGAAACTTCGTTACGTTAGCGGATGCTAGCGATGAATGCATTAATGCATCGAGCATCTCACCAAATCAGCCGCCCCGCAGCTCCAATGTCACTGATACTTAGGACTTCCCCGTTCGGTCTAGTGATAGTGTTTAGTCCTTTATTGATTTTCGTCGTAACAAAAGACGATTCGTGTCTTCTGGGTCGTAGCTTCTCTGTTTAGTCACCCTGCTTGAGTACTTGTAAAAGTTCTCGAGAGTGCTTAAGTTAATTGGTCATCATGGCTGCTTGCAGTTAAGGAGCTCGGGTTCCCGCGTTATGTATGCAGGTTATACAGCGCCCTCTTTCTCCTAGGCATTTGCTTTTGGGTCTGGGGAGCCACCTAACCACAGATGCTTGCACGTGCATCCTAGTTAATACTTTATGGAGTTCGTGGGGAAACGGCAGCACAAGAAGTCTGATAATCGACTGAATACATTGATACATTGATAGGTTTCGCAATTTCAGCAAAACTGTATTTGCATTCGTTGTTTGTAATCAGGCTTATTTCACTGTAATTTGCTATGTCCGAAGCTTTGTCCCATGCTAACCGCTGCTTCGCCCTCCTAAAGATCGCATAGGAGGCCGTAATTGTTCCTGTTTTCATTTGGCTGTCCGCTTGAGACACTTGTTGTCCGATGTGACTCTTACAGGCACATACATAGGCCCGTTTTGTGTGCGATACTTTCAGCGTAATCTTCACCTCCAACTGAACCCTTTGGTCATGTAG